TTCAATGAAAGGTTTCTGAAATTTATAATTTAAAGCATTAATAAAACATCATGTTTCAATGCAGATTTCTAAGTTGGAGTTCAAAGTTTATTCAAAAAGATGGCAAGGCCTCGGTCCCTCTTTGGAAGTAAAGGAGCTTCAGGATCATGAGCAATTGTAAATTTCAAGGTGAGTCATTCACCTGTTGTATATGTACCACCTCGTTTACATAAAATGTTCATAGCTTTTTTAAGATATATCCTAATTTCAAATCTTTAGGTAATAATGTGAGAAAGATTTTGTTGTGCACTAAAGATGAATCTTGAAATATTTGGAACGCAGGAACACCTTTGCACACTAAAAATAATATTTTAAACAAATCTATAACATGACTTTTACGTTGGAATTACAGACGTTTCTATTCTTCGTGGTCTGCTATATTGTACGATAAGAAAATCATTTTTCATTACTGGATCAATCTGTTGGAGAGGATTTAGATTCTATTTGAAACAAGATTGAAACACTCATTTTCGCTAAAGAACATCTCATAACTGTTTAACCCAGAAGGACTCAACAATGAATTTGTAGTAGAGAGGAGGTCGGAGAATTTCGTGTATTAGAGTCTGAGCCCGAAATAAATGTTACAAAGTAGACCGCAGCTGATAGTCCGGATAGATCTCGGGCTATCAGATTGCTATAGATCAGAAAGAGTGTAGTAGGCTAGGCAAATCCTGGGCTACTCGGTTCGTTGCGAACTAATAAAGGTATGTAAACGTTTTCGGTGTTTTCCGGTCGGTGCTGACCTCCCGGCGAGCTCTCTGTCAGAGTTAGAGACCTGAACGATAATGCTCTGGGTCCCTTGTACTCTTTTTAGAGGAATGGAAGATGAATGGTCACATCACGTTGTACTATTTATAGTACAAGGTTGAGGGTACATCATAGGTTTTATTAACTGTAGTTACCGAATCTGACTCACGTTTAACCAGACCGCGGTTACTGTTTGAGTTGGGCTTTACTGTTTGCGGGCTGCGAATTGTTTAGGCCGCAGAATCTAATGGGCCGCAGGTCTAGGCCCAACAGTAGCCCCCCCGAGTCGGCAGAAGAGGTGGCCGAATTTTGTCGTTCGTCCGTTGCGCGTTCTAAGCCCAAAACAGATTAAGCCCAGCCCGAAGTCCGGCCCTGATTGGCTCGCTGTGCCGCCCTGGCGTTTCGCCCAAGGTGCAATGTTTCGTCTTCCGGTCTGAGCCTATAAAAGGGGGCTTTCTGGTTCAGTTCATTTCACTTCGCTTCTTCTCGCTTCTCTCTAAAGGTAGGTTCTTTCTCCTTCTCTCTCTAGTTTTTTGTTAGGTATTTTTGCTGTCCCATCATCTTCGAGTCCGCCGTCTCAGTTTGAATTCTCCGATCGATCTTCAAATAGTTCTCTGTCCCGACCTGGTTTCTGGTTGATGTCCTTTCCGATTCAGATTGATTCTTCCGGTGAAAACTCTCTTAGTCAGAATTTGGTCAGCTCGTCTTCTGCATCTTTATCTGACAGTCTATCTTTGATGGAAGAAGAGACACTAGCTCGTGTTCACAAGGCTCGCGTCTCGAAAGATGGCAATGGATAATCTAGCTCGGTTAAGGGTTCGCGGTCTGATCGGAACCTTGTTGAGACCGGGACCTCTAAGGTCGCTGGGTCCTCAATACTTGGCTCGTCTTTCCCTCTAGGAGCTCAGTGTAGCCGTGCGCGAACTCATCGTGACACTGCCTGGTCCACTGGTGAGGACGATTCCGACTCCTTTGGGTTGTCGATATCTACTCCGGGCAGACGGGACCCTCCGGGACCGAGCTTAGTCATCACATAAAGTTGGTTCATTTCGACAATAAAAAAACGGAGTCCTCTCAGACGTCTTTGGAGGTGATGTGGTCTATTCGAGGCCTTTCGAATAGGGTTGAATTTCTGGTCCCTAGTGAAAACGACCGACCCTGGACGCCTCCGGAAGGGTACATGTGTTTGTACGAGTCGTTCTTCATGGCGAGCGGGCTGTGGTATCCGCTTCCCCGAGTACTGATCAAGTATTGTGCCCGGCGGGGCATAGCTGTTTCCCAGCTTACCTGGGCTTCAATCCAGAATTTTGCGGTCTGCTCACTCTTGCTGCTGAGCACGAAATGGAATGCGATTGCGATACCTTTGAGGCGATGATCCAACTCAAGTGGCGGAAACCCTCAGGTCATTTTTACGTATCGGCTCGCCCCGGGTATTCATGCCTGCATCCAGATTTTGTAAGCGATAAATGTGACAACTGGGAACTCAGGTACTTCTTCGTGAAGATCGATGCGGCCTCTGTCGAGAACCCGAAATAGGTGATTCGTTCTGGCTGGAACATTATAATCAGTAGGCTTAACATCTCTGTGTTTACGAGTTTACCCGTTTTGGCTGACACCCAATCTTCTCTTTGTTTGCAGGTTACCCAGTTCCAAAGATCTTGACCGCTCCAAAGCCCGGTGAGAAGACGCTAATTCCTCTTTTGAAAGGACTGGAACCTCAGATTTGGCCAGAATTCCTCGAGCAAAAGATCCAAAGGTGCCAGGAAAGGATCACGACAGGTTCGTTTGTCGAGTTTGTTCCTTTTTGATTCAGGGTTAAGACGCGTTGTTTATTCAAAACCGTCTTGTTTTATCGTACAGGCTGCTATACTCTCAGACCGTATACCTTCCCTCCGATCAAGCTGAAGAAGCCCCGTCAAAAGAAAGCTAAGAAAGAAATGGTTAAGACCAAATTTAAGAGGGTTAATTACACCGACATTGCTCAAGAGAGTCCTGCCCCGAGCAAAGGGACTGATGCAGCCGTTAAACAGGTTGGCCCTTCTGTCGCTGCTCAGGGAGCGTCCAAGCAAGTCTCTTTGCAGACCGAGAAGGCCGTTGAGGCTTCTCTAGCTGCGAAGAAAGCGGGAAAGCGAGTGGTGAACCCTTCTACTAAGGTCGCGAAGAAGGTTTCTGATAAGGAGACCAGAAAAAGAGACCCACTGAGGTCGCTGTTGAGGGATCGAAGAAGAAACAGCGCGTAGAGGAGTCGACATAGAAGACCACCTCTGTTGAAGCCGCTGCTACTGGTTCTGAAGAGGAACCCGCGACCTATGATCTTTCGTTCACCTTTAAATCGAAAGATCATATCGCAAGTATCCTGCAGGCGTGCGCTGAGCTATGCTCCAAGATCCCTTGTAGCACGGAGCACGACTTTCCTGAGCCCGACGACCTGATCGAAGCGGAGGCGTATCAGCTGTTCACGGGGAGCGTGATGGAGGTATCGTCCTTTAACCCGATATTGTGTTATAAAATCCTTGCTTTTATTTTGTCTTTGCTCATCGATCTTCTTTTGACAGATAGTCACACATGGGAATCTGATCATAAAAAATATGAGCATCGGTCTCGGGGGCTTCTAAAGAAGCTCGAGGATTATTCGAGCGTGAAGAAATAGGCTAAGAAGGTTCCCGGTCTTGAGAAGAAGCTCACCACGCAGACCGCTACGATGGATGATCTGTCCAAAAAGGCGGAGGAAGCAAGACAGCGAGCGAAATACGCCGAGGAGGAGCTTAAGAGGATAAAGACGGAAAAAGAGTCTCTACAATCGTTTCACGATCAGGAGATAGTTCGTCTGCGGTCTTCTCGAAGGCACGAGGTCACTCAGATCATCGCGAAGTGCGATGCTAAGCTTTTGAGGATTAAGAAGTCGATCTCTGACAACGAGGAGGCGAACAGGCTTAGCGCTGATGAACCAAGCGATGGCTATTAAGGATTACCTTGCTGGTTTTAAGAAGGCTGGAGCTGATGTCTCGGATGACCGGTTCAAAGAGCTCGATGAGAACTTTAGTACGTTCGAGAAGGATTTCGATGCTCTGGACGTCAAAGAAGTTACTGATGGTGATTTTAAGATGACTCCTCCTCCTTGGATGTGTTCAAACCTTCCTCAGGGCGAGACCGCGGCTGCTTCTGTGAACCTTCCTCGGACTGAGACCGTCGCTCCCTTTGATCAATATGGGACTTTAATGAGCGCGAAGCAGCAACAGCAAGATCGGCTTCTGATTGAGTGTGGCTTGGAAGCGGAAGCTCAAGAAAAAGAGCCCGCTACTGTGGCGAAAGATGCGGCCACTGGCGAGGAGCTCACTCCCCTTGACGGGTTTCCTGTCATTCCGACTGCTCAGTCTTGA